TGCTGCAGTCCACAACCCCTCTGTATGCTAGTGTCCTGGAGGGAGGAGAGGCAGTTAACAAACCCCAGGGCCGGACTGGCCCACCAGGATACTGGGAAATTTCCCAGTAGGCCGCGGCATCTGGGGCTGGGCAGACATCCCAAATAATCAATCATATAATTTAAATGATTTCCCCCTTGTGCCAGCCTGAGGGGGGTAAAGAGGGAGGAGCTGGGGGCTGGTGTGGCTGCAACTACTCTGCTGGTGGCCGGAGGGAGACCTGTCATTCTCCCTGCACAGTGTACAGCAATTACGGCAGCATGCCATGCCCCCACACTTAAGCTCTGCCTCCCAAACACAAGCCCCGTCCCCAGACTGAAGCTACTAACCTTGCTGGAATGAAGAGACCAGACATTGACACCTTCACCTACCAGTGCCAGGTAAGCTTTGTGTGTGTTTGCATTTGCTAGTGAGAGCTTCTCTGTGTGTGTGTGTGTGTGTGTGTGTGTGTATCTGCTAGTGAGTGAGTGAGCGAGCTTTTGTGTGTGTGTATGCGCGTGCGCATCTGCTAGTGAGTGAGTTTGTGTGTCTGTGCGCCTGCTAGTGAGTGAGCTTGTGTGTTTGTCTGCTAGTGAGTGAGCTTGTATGTGTGCCAGTGAGCTTGTCTGTAGGAATCGTGTGTGTGTGTGTGACCATGAGCTTGTCTGTAGTGACAGTGTGTGTGTCAGTGAACATATGTGTCAATGAGCTTGTCTCTAGTTAGAATGTGTGTGAGCTTGTCTGTAGTGAATCTGTGTGTTCATGAGCTCTTCTATAGGGAGCATGTGTGTGTCAATGGGCTTGTCTGTAGGGAGGGTGTGTGAACTTGTCTGTAGTGAGCGTGTGTGTGTGACAGTATGCTTTTCTGTAGTAAGCTTGTGTGTGTATCAGTTTGTCTGTACTAAATGTGTGTGTGTGTGTACCAGTAAGCTTGTCTGTGTGTGTCATTGAAATTGTCTGTCAATGAGCCTATTTGTGTGTATCAGTGAGCTTGTTTGTCTGAGCTTAAGATTGTCCATAAGATTGTCTGTGTCTGCATGTGAGTATGCTTTACTGTATAATTGAATTACTCTGAAAGGACTAATATTTAGAATTAGAAAAAAAACATATATTATTGGTATATTTGCCAGCCCTATAAGTCATTGTGTTATGTAGTGAGTGTGTGTTTTGATATATATTATAACGCAGCTCCCTGTACCCCTGGCTGTGTACCTCCGGCAAGTACCGCGTCTAGCTGGAACAGGGGACAAACCGCAGCACTTCTGCCCACAGTTGCCGTGGCTTGACTGGGGTCCTGGAAATGCTCCCTCCTCAAGCCGTATGGGGAATTCGCTTTAGACACCCCAGGCACTGGATGACACTCAGTCCTCGGAGCTCTAGTCCTTACAAGGACTTTTAGTTACCAAAAAAAAGCGCGCTAAACTGATCTGTAAATATAAAAAAACAGAAAATAGTGCAGACTATCTGGACCAAACACAATATGTACAGGGGGGTATGAGGGGAAAAAACTCACATTTACCAAGCCCTATCACCCCTGGCTCTGGGTTTACAGTGCTCCAATTGAGAGGGAAGATTCCCACACTGATAGAACTCCAAGTGGTGTGCTCACTGTAAACTGGTAGTACTGTGCAATATAGGACAGAGAGAGGCAGGACCTCCAATGGAATAGTATCAAATACAGTTTATTATAAAACAACAGTTAAAAACTCTTACTTTGTGTGGTGGGTTATGCTGACATAGCTACCCATATAAAAGCATGTAAAACAGAAAGTCACTTCCTGGTTTCATCCGTCCCGATCACGTGATCACTTCCGGGTCCGCCTCTCTTGTGACGTGTGTGTGACACGTTTCGCCCACCTCCACAGGCTTCCTCTGACGACGTCATGGTTATCCAGCCCCTTCTTTTAAGTGTCTCACTCCTCCCCCTCTGTTCTTTCATTGGTCTGGGGGCGTGGTTTGCTCGTAAAGGCTGGTTTCTCCTTTTATGCAAATGTTAATCAAGATCCAATATCCAGCCTGCCTTAGCATATGCAAATTTAATTAGGCAACCAACACTTAATTGGGGGCTAGTGTCCAACCTGCTATTGCACATAACTACTAAATCAAACAAACAGAAGTGCATGTGTCTGTTTGCCTTTATGCTAAAACCCTATTCATACATGTGTATTGAAAAATTGTATAGTTAAATTCAGGATAAATTCAAGCTTATATACGCAAATACTTCACTTGGAGTTTCAGAGGTAAAAAAGAGCAACTAAAAAACACACAAATATAAAAGATTAATAATAAAGGGTATCTCTGTGTTGTAACTAGAGAATGGGTATTGCTGAATCCAAATAAAGAATTTAAAGAGATATTCACCTCCATATTATTATTACAAATGGTGCAGTGACCCAATATAATATAAGGGTCTATGCTAATCCTAAAATGGTAATAGATCTAAAATTTAGTTAACTCAGATCAATAAGGGAGATTGTACTAGAATCCAGAGGATGGGGGGAACAGAAGGGAATGTAGATATACAAATAGTCACATACCATACTAAATCTTTTCATAAAATGATGCTCTTACCAGAGTCAAGAAAAATGACAGATCTCTAAATCCCAGTTTAAACCTTTAGGGAATAGCGACTTCAAATTAAACACCCATCTCATCTCTTGTTTTGACAATTTTGTGTCCAGATCTTCGCCTCTCCAATTCCTATTGACTCTTTGAATCACAATAAACTGCAATTTTGGGGCGTGTCCTTGATGTTTGTGTATAAAATGTGAGGATAAAGGGTGCTCCTTGAGTCCCCTTTTAATATTTCGTAAATGTTCCTCAATGCGAATATGTATCTGTCTGGTGGTTTTCCCTACATAATGCATATTACAGGGACAAGTAAGGACATAGACACAGTTGGTGATATGGCAAGTTATTAACTGTTTGACTTGATATGTCTGTTTCGTGTTCCCTCCTATTAGTTGTGGTTCTGCACACTAGGCAGTATCCGCATTGAAAGAACCCTATATCTTGATTCAGAGATGTTTTAATCTGATTCTCCTGTTTAAAACTGCTTCTAACAATATGGTTTTTGATGCTAGGTGTTTTTTTAGGGACTATCTGGTTTAAAAGAGGATCCTCTTGTAAAATAAACCAATATTTGTTCACAATCTTCTTTAATTCCTTACTTCTCCCTGAGTAGTCGAAAATAAGTGCAACCTCAGTCTCATTACCTCTACTTTTTTCTTTTTTTTTTTTTAACATTCCTTAAAAGTTCTTTCCTGTCAATGATCTTTATTTCTTTATATGCTTTATCCAATATTGTTTTTGGATAATGTTTAGCTGTAAAGTCATTCATTAGTTTGTGTGCTTGGGTTTCATAGGAATCTATACTAGTACAATTTCTCTTTATCCTCATCATATGATCCTTGGGAATGTTATTCAACTAGGGGCAATAAAAAATAAAACTATTAACATCCACCTTCTTGAAGAAGGTTTCGGTGCAGATCTTACTGTTAGAAATAAAAATCCGTAGGTCCAAATAATTAACCTGGCTGTCACTATGATCCATGGTGAATCTCACACCCCAAGTGTTTGAATTAAGATATGTAAAAAATGAAACAAGTTCCTCTCTAGAACCTCACCAAATCCATAATAAATCGTCAATGTAACGGTGATAGGTGACCAGATTCTGCACCCAGCTATGGTCACCATATATAAATGAATAAATTCACATAGCTGGGTGCAAATCTGGTCCCCATTGCTGTTCAAAGGGTCTGTAAATAAAAGGAATCCATATAATGAAAGTAATTATTTGTTAATATGAGGTGGATGCCCTCTAAAATGAAGGCTTGATGATTGGGAGATAAATTGGAGGTGGACAAGAAATATTTAACAGCCTCAATGCCTTTCTGGTGTGGAATAATCAAGTAGAGGGATGTAGAGTAGAGGGATGGGGATGTCCTTGACATCCACGGTGACAAGGACATCCCCATCCCTCTACTCTACTTCCTCCAACAAGCAGAGGATCTGGCTAGTGTCCCTCAAATATGCTTTGGTCTTTTTGACTATAGGCTTTAGAAATTGATCAATATACTCTGACAAGGGCGCTGACACCGAACCTGTGCCCGAAATGATGGGTCTTCCTGTTGGTTTGGTTTCATGTTTGTGGATTTTGGGTAGGAAGTAGTACACATGTATCCTAGGGTGCAAAACCGCTAGATATTCATACTCTGTTTTAGATATAACTTATAGCCTCTACCCAAAAATTCCAAAAAAATATTTTTCTTATCCTTAGTTAGATCACCTTTAGGTTTAGTGTATATGATCCCATCATTCAGTTGCCTAAGTGATTCTTCTATGTAATAATCCCTATCCATGATTATGATGCCACCTCTCCCCCCCCGCCCCCTTGTCGGCAGGTTTTATGACCATCTCTGTATTGTCACGCAGTTCTATTAGGGCTTGTTGTTCCTCCTTGTTTAAATTCATTCTGTTCTTATTAATTCTCTTTATTCTTTCCACCTCCCTCATAACCAATTCCTCGAATGCATTCATTGAATTGGTTTTACAGTTTCTTGGAAAAAGGTAGATCTCTTTTTCAATGTGATGAGATTCCCTCCCTCTATAGATTTTCATTTTGGGACTCCTTTATTATATCTATCTTATCTTTAAAAAAACATTTTAAACATAATTTCCTCACGAACTTCTTAAGGTCTATATAGACTGAAAAATGATCCAAATTGGCTGTAGGACAGAACTTAATCCCTCTAGCCAATACTCTACTCTGCATTGTGGTAAGGGTGATCTTGGAAAGGTTATATATTCCTTTAATTTCTATATCCTTCCTCTGTTCCCTTCTCTGAATCTTACTCCCACCTCTTGTTTCTCTCTTTCTATTCTTCTTTTTAATGGGGAACTTGGGATGTTTAGTTTTATCCTTTCCTTCCTTTATTGGTCCCATTCTAAAAAATCTTTTGGTTGTTCCTCTTGATTGCGGGTTAAATCGTTGTTATCGGTATGGGGGGGGGATCTGATTTCTCCGTTCGATACTGTATAGTTTTCCATACATTGGAGTCTGATCTATGATTGGGGTCTCCATTTTCCCTGAATTGTGTCCTCTCTACCTGAGTGGTGATCCTCGTTCGTTGATTTGGAACTTGTCCCCCATTAACCTTAATCAAGGTCTTATTTGCCTGAGTATTATTCCTCTGATGTTGATAGGGGTTAGAGCCCCTCTGATACTTCCTACTATCATTTGTTGACTCCCTCCTCTTATTATGTTGATATGAACCTATATTGCGTTGGGCGTATTGTTGTCTATATTGACGTCTAGGTTCATTGTACTCTCTCCTAAAGTTCTCTGGTCTAAATGGGTTATTTCGAAGTTCTCTCTCTCTTCTTCTATTTTCAAATCTACCTCTATGGAAAGTGTGCACTCTATTCTCCGTATAATCCTGTTTATCCCTAAAGTATTTATTTTTCTTGATGGTAATAACCTTCTTTTCTACTCTGTTCATATCGTCCATAATTTACTCAGAGTGTTTCTCCATTTTTTTAGACTCTAAAAAAGGCTGTAAGAACTCTTTAATAGATTTAATATTTCTGTCTAATTCTCTTACAAGGACTTTCCCCATTGAATCCTCCACACAGGAACAGTGATTAAAGAATAGCCCTTTCCCATTCCAGTAACCAGACGACACATAGTTCTGGGAGTACAAGCTGGAATATCTTTTATTGGCAGCCACAATTTGCCTTATATGCAGGTCCCTATGCAGGGGGCACTCCCCGTGAACCTGACAGTAGACTACAGTAAAAACATACACACGATTACATTGGCTCTCAGGTCCAGGACACTTCCACACAAAACAAGATAATACCTACCCTGTACCTGGGAGATAAGTCAAGCACTGTATTAAACTCAATTATCTCCAGGCACAAAAAAACCCACACGTTTCCCAAACACCCCACAAGTACCTTAAAAATACATAAAACCCCACAAAAGTTATATCCCCTGCTAGCCCTGATCATGGTGACCAACAAATTACACAGATTGGTTCAGGAATTTCCTGGAAGTCATAATGTGACCGACTGCACACATGGTCCCATGCCCAAAACCGTTCCAGAGAATCAGGGCTTGCAGTCGGTCTAGTTCGGTAGTTTAAAAAACAAGCGAACTACTGAACATAGTCAATGTTCTTACCCTGGAGCTTGTATCCTTTGTGCGTGGGAAAGTTTCCATGGAACAGTGTCTTTCTAAGTGTTGTAGAACCGAAAACAGGCGATCATGGAAGTCCAGCGTTGTTCGGGAGTTTGTGTCCGAAAATAGTTCCATGAACTCGACAACTAAACACTGCTGCCTGTGTTAATGCAAACAAGATGGCCGCCACCTCGTGGTAGTCCATAGGAAATGTGGCCACTCAGACGAACATTTAGAACACTGTGGTGGAAACTGCTACAAAGTATCAATTAGGCTTAACAGTCGGTTTGTGCGACTTTTCGGTTCCCGAACCATATAGTCCAAATACACAAATGGAGACTTTTACATTACATTTTACAGGGTCCATAGTCTGTGGGCAGGAAGCTGGTAAGCAGACTCCTCCAGGATCTCATGGCAAACTCACTTGGAAAGGGGAGTGTGTCACATTTTATATATACATCCAAACTCTGGCACTCTACCCAAAATTATTGAAAAGTTATAAACACCGTATGTATATCTGTATAAATATAGAAAAAGCAAAAAATGAGAGCACTCACTGGATTTAACAAAATTGCTTGTATTAAATAGTGAACATACCAATCAACGTTTCGACCGTCTCGCGGTCTTTATCAAGATGTCCCAACAGTGTAGCAAACAATCAATATATACCTGTAAATCTTGTAAACTTACCCAATAACCAAAGTGAACCCCTTCCGATTCTAACCGCCCTGTGTTAGACGCCCGCTGGCACCCGCCATTACGTACGTGATGACGTCATGTCATGTGATCTAAACAACCACGTTGCCTAGTAACAACCTCAACGTCAATGAAGTGAAAGTGTCGGTAAAAACATCCACGGAGGATCTGCAAGAGTCTCATTTGTAATATTCTAGTGGCAACAATGTTTATACCGCAAGGCTGACAACATTCTATCTATTCCTAAAAAAGATTACCATTTCTGGTAAAATCCAGTAATTTTTCCAGCAATTTTGTTAAATCCAGTGAGTGCTCTTGTTTTTTGCTTTATATATATATATATATAATCTCCTGATGAAAGCTCAAGGACATCGGACTGAAACATTGTTTACCCAATAAAAGTTGGATTTTACTTTAAGTTAAAGACCTGGGAGTGCTATCTACATACCCATATTATATCTATAAATATATATATTTATTAAATCTCTTATTTTATTTTATTTTTTTACAGGCCTGCTTTGTATCCCCAGTCCGGCCCTGACAGACCCCCAGCCTCTTGGCCAGGTTGGGGTCGGGGTGTTGGAAATTCTTTTTCCCTGTTTGGTTACGGCAGCGGGAGATGGATAGGAAAACTGTGGGATAGGGCAGCTTGGTATGAGGGATAATTTAAGTTTAGGATGAATAGTTATGTTTGTATTTGGTATTGGTAGCCTCAAGCTCATTGGTAGCTCAGAACCTGGGGGTGTAGCAGTATCTCGGCATGCCCCTATAGTTGGAAAAGAATGCTGTGTTAATGGTTTGTTATGTATATTAATGTTATAAGTTTGTATTGCTATTATTCATGGTTGGGTCATTGTCGGTGGGTATAGTTGTAATTAAAGGGATGCAATTTTTAATATGTCATTTTAAGTGACCTTTTAATAGTTTTATAAAAGATTAATTAAAGCTGTGGTAATCCCAACCAAATATCCATGGCCGTGGTTTTATGGGGTAATTTATTAGGAATACACGTATGGGATGACTATGCGCATCTCATGCCTTGCAGTGGAGCTGCTCTTGACGGGTGGCACTTGGCTATCCTTAAGATAAGTGTGCCTTGTCCTCTTTCAATAGTCACCTTAAAAGGATACTCTAAATACCAAAATATCTACCACTTATTGTAGTGGTCATCATGATGAAAGTCTGGATGCCTGTTTATGATTTTATCCTTTTTTCTTTTTTTTGATAAGAAAGTTTGACAAAACAGCTGATTCTCTCTGACATCCTATCCCCTCAACCACAAACTGCAATATCGCATTACTAATGGCAATTCCATAAAACCTGGATGGTAATGATAGTGAAAGCGCAGTTTAATCTAGCACGCTCAGTTTATCATTGCCATCCAGGTTGGACAGGAACCCACGTGGTAATGGAAGAGTAGTTTTGCATTGTCAGTGCAGATGAAGATGCGTTGTGTGTGGAGAGCTAGGTTTTTTTTTATCAGCAGGCTTACTCACTTAAGAAAGAAATTGCAGAATAATTAAAGTCAATTTTAAATGTACTGCCAAAGTATCCAAACTGAAAGCATAGCTGACTGGGAACAATTTTTTTCAAATGCACTTTGAATTTCCTGCAATCCTCACTTTAGTGAATAGCCCTGTTTGCCATAACCACTGAACCACCATAAGGAGCCAAAGTGTTGGTTTTACTTCTTAATTGGGGTACATAGGCACCTCTACCGCTCTAACTACTTCTTATTGATACCAAACCGGTCTTTTCACGGAACAAAGCCTGGCAAAACAGGGTTTAGTTTAGGAGAGGTAACCGAAGCACCTAAGCAGGAGCTCCTGCCTATCGCCGAGCTGTGGTGGATCCAACACCTGGCAGATGCCAGGTAAAAATGCCTCTTTACAATAGAGGGAGCACCAAGGCACATCTAGCACCATAACCCTTACAACATGCTTATGGTGTTTGGCAAATTCCTATCTCATCTGTTTTCTACGTTGACCTGGTCATTAGCTAGTTTGTGAATTGTTTCAAATTGGATTTTTAAGTTTCAGGCCAAAATAGCTTAACTGGAAAAAATTCATATTGTAGGCACTATAACCATTTCATCTCGTTAAACTAGTTCTGGTGCTTGGGTGTCATCTGGCGCTGTCCATCGATTTATTTTTGAGTTGTTTATTATTGATAACCAAGACCCGAGATAACCAGAAGCAACCAAAGACTGAACTGGACAGCATCTGCAATCATCCGTTCACATGCAGGAGCAATCTCATCCATACTTATTGGGACAAGCCATAACATCATTACTCCGCAAGTCTGCTATATTCAGGACTCAGGAATGGTGAGATCAATCCAATAGCATCCACTTACAAGGGTTTATTTTGGAATCTTTGAGTGTGTACACACTGGGACTGTGTTTAATTTTTTTTCATGTTTTCTTCTGTTTTTCCATTTTTTTCAATATTTTTTTTCATGTCCAGACTACCCACATAGCGTCTATTTAACTACAATACTGGTTATTTAGGTGGTATATCAATTAGGGATATTTTATTCCTTTTTTTGTTAAGGCATATCACCTAAGGTGTTGCATTATTGAGTCCACAAAGGATATAACTATGTAATAATTTTTTTTTGTTATACTTGGATATCTCTTAATTTTAGTAAAAATATATATCTTTTAATACACAGAATAATAAACATATTTTACTTTATAGCTATAATTGAGTGCGATATCATATGTATTCATTAAAACTATATAAGCGACTCTGGTCACCCACAACCCAGTCCCTACTTCAGGTATGGCGAATGCAGACATTACACACTTTTTGTTACCGTATCAATTCATACCAGCAGTGGGCTCTGATAGGTTGACAGTGGTCAGCTGACACTCCTAGCCACTCACTGCTGCTCAGGCTACATGTTTGTATTCATGACACTATAGTGTTCCTTCAGCCCCGTAAGGACGGAAGCAATTGTACAAGTTCTGACCAAAACAAAAATTAGAAATTGAGCTGTTCAATTATAATTTAGCTCTTTCATATTAAGTGCACCCACACGTATTCTATATCATTTTGTTCAGGACTTTCATTTCACATCAAATATTTAAATATGTAACACAATTTAATATTAAGAAAAGTGTGAGAAATTAAGAAATGTTATGCATGGAATTTTAACTGTAAATGTTATAATACGGTTAGCTTTTTACTGCAATAAAACACACATTTTTAGGCAGTTATTTCCCACGGGTACAACGATGCCCCCCATGTCTAGGTTTTATGATGTTTTTGAAAAGTTACAGGGTCAAATAAAGAGCTTGCCCATTTCAGTTTTTCTCCCATTTGCCAGATTGGTTTGCTAGGCCTTTGAGACTGTATGGTAGTTCAGGAATGACATTTAACCCTGTCATGGTGCCATTTGCAATCATAGACAATCCAAGCTTTCAATATGGAGTATGTTGTGGCGAAACCAGCCTCGCCACTGTCCACTAGAGGAGCCTGGTTGCTCGCCTGCTCCCTTTAGACTATGACCCGGCAGTTAAAACCTTTTATTTTCCCTGCAAAGCGTATTCATGCCTTTCTGTAGACTGTTAAAGCCATGCTACCCCAGATAGCTATGCCATGGAGCCCAGTCGTATACTGA